CCGACTTCCTTACTTTCCAACCTTCGTCAACCTTCGTCCACCCCCCCGCCCTCAACCCCCCGCCCTCCCTGCTCCTCCTTCACTCCCTCCCACTCACCCTCCTCTCCCTCCTCCCCTTCTCCCTCCTCCTCTCCCTCACCGTCTGCATCTCCATCACATGATTCGTCTTTGCCGACGCGCCCTTGACTCCGCTCGTCGCCATCACCTGCCCTGCTTCAGTCCTGCTCTCTCCCCTCCCCACTCTGCGCTACCTCTTGCAGCCCTGTTCCCTCCACAAGGAGCTGGTAGCTGTTCCCTCCTCCCTTCACCTCTGTGCTCTGTATCACAGCTCGCCGGATGGTGGGGATCCCGCAGACGATGACGTTTCGGAGCTGGCTGGCGAGGTTGATGAGCATGAAGTGGAGCGACTCCTTGGATCGCCCGTCGTGGGGGGGATGGATGAGGAGCTTGTCGGTCCCCTTGCTGCTGATGTGCTGCTCCTTCACCTTGAGCTTCGGGTCTGACAAGATCGCCTTCTTCACCGTGGAGGCAGAGAGGTTCAGCTGCAGGTCCTGCACGCACTGCATGTCCAGCTTGACGACGACGTAGCAGCGGCTCGGAGCGAACACCTGCTTGATGTACTTGGCCACCTGCCCGAGTGTCGTCCTTTCGATCCTCCCCTTGATGATCCGTGCGTTGATCTCGTCCCGGTCGAGCTGCAGTGGCACCTCAACCACGGGGGTCGAGATGATCTTGGACGCGTTTATGATCTCCTTGATCCTCGGAACTCCTAACGTCACGTTCATAGACGCGATCCCGGCAAAGTGAAACGTCTTGAGCGTCATCTGCGTTCCGGGCTCCCCAATGCTCTGGGCCCCCAGCGCCCCCACAGCGCTGCCAGGCTCCGCCACGGCTCGGCGGTAGCGGCAAATGATCTCGTCGAGGAAGTGCTTGAGCTGCTCCTCCGTCATCAGAGTGAAGTTGGCGGGCGATCGCTCCTCGTCCCCGTAGCAGCCGAGCTCGGGGAGGACGTTGTCTGGGAGGATGAAGCACTTGTAGAGGAAGCGGCGGAGGTCGTCGACGAACTTGTCCGAGACGACGGACTTAGGGGAGCGCGCGTTCATCCTCTCCTTCACCGTGTAGCTTGTCTTGGGCCTATTGGAGCGCCGGAAGGGGACGGACTGGTGAAACCAGGACGTGAAAACCTTGGCTGCCTCCTCCTCCGAGACGAAGGAGTCGCTTCCCCGAGCAACCAGCGCGCAGGATCGCTGGATCATCCTCTTCATGTTGATCGGCTTCCCGTCGTCGTCCTCCATCAGCATCGGGTCAAGCCCGTCGTCTCCGTACCTGAACTGCACGATGCACCCGTGCGAGTTCCTTACGGTGCTGTCATAGTGGATGGAAAGGTCCTCCAGCGACTTCATGAGCCTTCGGGCCATGTACCCGCACTCTGCTGTCTTCACCGCCGTGTCCACCAGACCCTCTCTCCCCGTCATGGTGTGCATGAAGAACTCTGTGGGGTTCAGCCCGGTGAAGAAGGAGTTCTCAACGAAACCCTTGGCTGCAGGCTCCTTGGCGTACATCTCAAAGTGCGGCAGCGTCCTCCCTATGAAGCCGTTGGGAATTCTCGAGCCTCCGAGCTTCTGCTGCCCGAGGCACCCGATCATCTGTGAGATGTTGTCGTTGGAGCCCTTGGACTTGCACAGGGCCATCACCAGCACCTTGTTGTCATAGTGTAGCTCCTTCTTCGCCGCCGACGCCACAAGGTTCCTGACGTCGTCCAGCTCCTTCCCCACCATCTGCTCCAGCGAGAGCTCCAGGTCACATCCTGGCACTCGCTGGAGCTTGCCAGCCCTGTAGTCGGCGATGAGCTTGTCGCACTTATCCTTCACCTTCTGCATCGCCTCCGCCTTCGCCTTCTTGATCGGCTCAGTCGGCATGACGTCCTCGATCCCGAACGTGAAGCCGTGCAGTCCCATCCAGCGCGAGCAGAGCTTCGCCAGCTTCGTCATGCGATCAGCTGCCGTCTCAGCGTCGCAGTCCCGCAGGAGGGTGTAGAACAGACTGTTCTTGTTCCCCGCACCGAGTGTCGACTTGCCGAGGTTACCGCACATGAGCTCGCTGTTACGGAAGCAGACGTAGTTGTCATGAGGGCACATGTACCGCCCCTTGTCGATGTCGTTGTCCGACTTCTTCTCGTACTGAGACTCTCCCAGCTCAGTGTTCACCAGCACCTCCACGTCTGTCTCCAGGGACCGGGTGTTCTTGCGGGGCTTGAGGAGCATGCTGAGCAGCTGCTTGCCCGTCCACAGCCTCATCGGTTTGATGATGGCCGGGGGCTCCAGCTCGAAGTCTTCTTTGGCGTCACAGGTGAAGGAGCAGTAGTACCACATCTGAGCCTCGTGAAAGAAGGTGTTCTTCCTGGAGATGAGGTATGAGCCCGTCAAGAAGTCTTGAGTAGCTGCGATCATGATCGAGCCGTCCTTGGGCGTGCAGAGGTTGTTGACCACTCCCATCAACTCGATCGCCTCAGCACGAGCCTCCTCCGTCTGCGGGACGTGCAAGTTCATCTCGTCTCCATCGAAGTCTGCGTTGTAGGGGTTGCAAACACACTCGTTGAATCGTAGAGTTCTCCACTTGAGCACTTTGGCTCTGTGTGCCATGATGCTGATACGATGCAAGGACGGCTGGCGGTTGAAAAGGACGACATCGTCGTCTATGAGGTGTCGTTCAACGATGTCGCCAATCCGCAGCTCGTTCTTCGCGATCTTCTTGGGATAATACCTGAACAACAAAGTCAAACCACGAGACATCATCACTGGCTTTCAGTTTATCTCTTCCCCATCCTTGTTGGTATCACGCTCAACACCACATCATCATCACCACAAAACTTATCACCAAAACCTCATCATGGTCCTCGACTTCGTCTAAACCTTTCCACCTCAGCCCCCAACCACAGCCAACCATCGCCGCCTTCTCCCATCTCCTCGCCGCCTTCTCCCCTCTCCTTCGCCTCTCTTCACCTCAAGTCCTTGCGGTCATTGCTGTTCCCTTGCAAGAGAATGTGCGTAGCCCCGGGCCAGATGTCCGGCCCGTTGTCTATGGCCTTCTTGAGCCGAACTAGGTTGTGGCTCGTCACTCGCTCGGGGTACGTCAGGATCTTTGCCATGTGCACTGGGACGGCAACTTGGCGGACGTGCAAGTTGGGGTCAGGAGAGATAACTGTTCGTCCTGAGTGATCCACTCGCTTCCCTGAGAGGTTGCCGCGAAACCTTGCAAGGGCCTCAGAAAGGAAGAAAGGAGCGAAGGAAAACAGCAAGGGAGGAGGAGGAGGGAGGGAAGGGAACAAGCAAGGGAGGAGAGAGCAGAAGGGCCCAACGGCATAGAAGTGCGAGAAAGCGGATGCGATGAGCTTACCGGCCTTGTTTGCCTTTGAGCCTCTGAGCAAACCCGCGCATGATCTTCCTCTTTCCAGAAGACTTCATCGTGAGCTGTTGCTGTACACCAGGGAGCTCGCTGTTGAAATAATGTGCGATCTTCAGCTGCAGGAAGCTGTACCATCCTGGTCAGGACTGTACAGACACTAGGATGAATTTACCCCCAGCAGTCCATGATATTTGCGATGGACCCGCCCTTGTCCATGGTATCTTGAATACTCTCACTTGCCTTGACGATCTCGGATAGAATGACGGTCAAGTCATCCTCGTTGCTCCCCTGCAATTCATATCAGCTCCAGGGTTTCACGACCACAACACTGCAGCTACCGCTCCTACTCCCATCGCCACGCTCGGGCGGATGCAGCAGGGGGGCACAGGAAGGTGCGTGATGATGAGCTCCTCTGGGCGGCTGTGCTCAGGGCGCATGTTCAAGATCTGCTCTCATGTCATGGCGAGGAGGCGCAGGAAAAGGAAAGGAAACCTCGACGTCCTCATCAGGGATACGCTGAAACATGTCAAGGACTGTCAGGGGATCGAGATCTTGCGCTGCCTTGCCAATGGCTTGCTTCATGTCTTGGCTTCGCTTCGTCAAGGAGAAGGATTTGTCCTCGGCCGCCAACATGGAATGGAATTCTAGCTTCTGTTCCTCATGCTTAGCAAATTTGTCGTGGATCAGCATCAGGTATCGGCTGCCTCCGGCAGGAATCTTCTTGATCGGACCGTTGCAGGCCCCACAGCGCGGGCAGACGCTGATCTTCTTGCATTCTTCCGTGATCGCTCGGAGCTTCGCCGCTCTCCGCAAGTGATCATCTTGTACCCTCCTCATGAAGGACAGCGCTGAGCTGTAGTTGTCCGGGTCGAGGAGCACCCGCGAACAAGACTTGCAGATACACGACAGGATGGTGATGATAGCTTTGAAGTATCCCTGATGGAACACAGGGAGGGTGAGCTTCAGGTAGCCGAAGTGACCTGCGCAAGTCTGCAGCGGCTCGTGGCACGTGGTGCAGGTTAGTGACTTGTCGGTGGTTCCCATCCTGCGATCAAGGGGGCCGTTGAGAGCTGCTTCTCGCGTCGCTGGCTGACCCGGCGCAGCAGGTTGATGAGAATACATGTCGCTCCGCATGACCTCCACGACTGACATGCTCACTACTTCATGGCCGGAATGCACACCGAAATCAATCTTGGTGATCCTTTGCGGAGGCTCCACATCCTCGACGACAGCCTTCTTGTCGAAGGTCTTGGCGATGTCTGCTTCAGCTTTTGACATCTTTCTTAGTTCGGTGTTTGCAAATGTTGCGATCAAATGAGGACTGTTGCGTCACCGCATCTCAATATCATCTCATCTTGTAGAGGTGAAGGGTTTTGCCCCTGTCCTTCATCTGACAACAACCAAGTCACAACGAGCACCAGTTGCGCACATCTCGCATGCACTGGCGCCATTCAATGTATTCCTGGCCCAATTAGTCTCTCTCTCGCCTGTGCTGGTCTTCTCAAATTCTTCCCAAACTCTCGAGACTATCGTTGTGAAACGGAAGAAGCTTCGCTGGCTTAGACTAGTTACATATCGAAATGACTCCCTCTTCCTCTCTATCTTTGTACAGCACAACATCTCTTTGCCATACATGATGATTTCCTTCTTCCCCAACCCCCCCCTCTGTGCTTCCTGGGAAAATCTCCTCCCCTGCCTTTCCTTTCCTGTGTCTCGATATCTCGTCACTGCTTCTTCCATCCCTCTCTTGTTGGCGAGTGAATCATCGCCTCTCCTGCTTCGTCTTAGCCTATGGCGGTTTAAAGTGCCGATAGATGTACAATACGAGCCTCCCACCTCTTACCTCCTACCTTCGCTTCGCCTCCCTCCTCCCCCTATCTTTCTCCCCCTGGCTCTCAGAGCTTCTTTCTACACCTCTGTTCTTCATCATCGCCGTCTCCTCACTCCTCTCATCCTCGTCCTCGCCTCCGCCCTTGCCAACTCTTGCATCCTTGCTTCTTCCATTTCCTTCGGTAGTATCGCGCATGCGCCCACCTGTGTCGCCCCCAATATACAGCCACCCTACCCCCTGTCGCTAATACCGCCGATTCACATTCCCTATGTTATTTGTGTACGTATAGAAAGCAAATTTATCGATTAAGAGTATATTAGAATTTGCATATTGTCCTACCTTACGACACATTTCTCCAATATTATTACCCTTGTCATTGGCCTACCCCTAACTCCAATTTACCCACCCTACCACCAACTTGCCCAAGTTTCGGCCATTCCTGTGAAACAGTCGACCGGACGGAACATGAAACATGGCTGAGATGTATGGCAAACACGATGAGCGGCATGATGAGAGGAGGAGGAAGAGAACATGGAGAGAATATCAAGAGGATATCAACGACGAAGGGGATGGAAAAGTTATATTAAGGTACATTGTGGCAGAATGCCAGGACTATTAGCAGGCGGAGGAATTGGTGATAATACGCACGAAAGAGGATCAGGACAGGGATGAAGCTGAAGTGTTTAGGGATTGACAATTATTTTATCGTGATAGAGATTTGATCATCATCAAGATAGATATTTTATCATGCTGATGAAGCCAAGTGAAGAATGTTGACAGAGAGGAACGAGTTTCATGTAGCATGGACTAACACCCACATCGGGAAGAAAAGCATGGTGAATGGAAAGCGCTGTAGATTTCTTTTGCAGTCATGATGGTACTCGACAACTCTGGGCTAGAAAATGAGACAAGAGCATGGCGAAATATCAATAAGATCATCATCCCAGTGAGCTACCTCATAACAATCCAAATGAACAAAAGACAGACAAATAAACTCGTTTCACTTTTACTTTTGATATTTATGCTTTCGCGCTGCCCATCCAAGATCGTCCACATACTGTTTCAATTCTTCTTCTCATTCATCTGTTCAGCAAAAAAAAAAAAAAATCTTCTAACCTGTAGAGCGAACTCCCCGCCACTCCCAACTGGCAGTCGAACAGGACTGTGGGTAAGAGGAAAAGTCACTCTCCACTCCCCAGGTTGTACACGTCCCTGAAGATTGAAGATTCAGTACTCGATCAGCGTCGACAGGAGTCCCTTTCACCTCCAACACTCCGACAACTCGGTCCCCGTTCAACTCGTATCGCAACTTCTTCAGCTCGTGACAACCTCGGCGGAAAGATTCTCGCTGTGTAATACACTCTCAGGACTCTTTAAAGCAAATCATGTGAACATGCACACCAGCATAACTCTCACTCCTCTCCGGCAATGTCTGACACAACTGCCATGCTTCCAAGGAATCCCATCGATCACCAAATCGTTTATCTGAACTCATTCAGGCACAACTGGTAGAGCTTTCGAACAAACCGGTTCCCCTTTCTCGATGATCATACTAATTTTCTCTGAATCTGAAGTTAATCTTGCATCAATATCATTCCACAATAGAAAAGTTCGGATCGCCTGAGTAAACGACTTCGTCGGTCAATATCGTACTCAACGAGCGAGGAATTCCTTGACTATCTCTCTTCTGTTTGTGAGCGTCAACTTTGAACAATAAGTCACTCCTGATTACTAGCAGAAGAATTTGATGTTTCCAGCCGAAAATTTCCATCTTGTAAGTTCGCTTCTGTAGACCATTCATCACGATCAAGAAAAAAGCATGTCTCGACCGCACCATGGATGATTCAAGTGGAAATTTCATTGTTGTGTGATCTCTGTTCGAGGAAGCTGCTTCCCAAATTCACTTGGGGATCATCAAGACAGTGAGAAGATCGCGTTCTTACTTGATGGCAGTTCATCCTTGGAAGTATCAAGGTCGCATCCACGGTATTTGTTTTGCAATATCTGATTCAACCTCTCAACATTTCCATAGAACTGCAAAGCCTGCTCGAAAAAGTCAACCAAGGCATCGGATTCCATCCCCTCCTGAGGACCATTTGAGATACTTTTGAAAGATATTTTGGATCAACGATCGAGTAGAAGATGTGTAACTTGTTGGAAAGTTCGAGGAGGTTGCATTCCGATGATGGCTTGTCAGATGTGTACAACCCAACTCTTTTGCACATCAGGGAATTTCCAGAGCTCCAAGTCCCAGGAGTCACACTATCATGTGATATCAAGCTGACAAGCCCTCTGTTCGATCCTATTTCTTTGCCAAACAATGTTCTCTGCACAAGAAGGAAGAAAATCAATTTGAGATATGCGATACACTGCGGGGCACCTCTTGCTCTTTCCTTCTTCTAACATCAGAAGCTGGAATCGACATTCCAGGTACAGAACAGGCATATATAAGACCATGTTTTTTATCTTTCCCGCAGTGGACCACGATTTCGCCTGTAACATGGGGGAAGATGACAGCCCATAACCCTGCCTTGAGACAGGTATGATCTGATGAAGATACTACAAAGATCTCGCACCTCAACCCTTCTAGACAGGATTCCTATGTCATTCCTCAGTTTGAGCTGAGTATCACATTCTCACAACAACAGAAATTCAATGGTGGAGGTAATCACCTTGTCATGAGTTTTTGCGTAGTTGGAGTCTAGTATTACAGGTTGTCCTCGTTTGCATTTTGAGATCTTTCCCTTTGCTGAATTGACAAGCAGAGGATCTATTACGTATTGCATCCAATCACATGGATTGATTTCTGTGTTTGAAACACTTTTTTTGACTTTCACACTTGTCAAAGATTCTCTGATATTTTCTATGTTCCTCAATGTGGCTAAATTGTTCAAAGATGGAATCGTAAATGCACTCTGTGTAGGCGAAAGGCCATAACTTGCATCCTCGTGATATAGACTATCTTCGAGAGAACTTGTATCCACGTGATATGAAACATCTTCAGCAGAGTCTTCAAAGCTTCTGCTAACTTCATCACTTGTATGCAAGTTCGCTGGGCTCACAACGGTATAAGATAGATCTGAAACGACTGCATCTTGGTCGAAATTCCAGTCTTCTCCTCTCAACATCGGTCCTTGCCCAGCATCGATTGGTCGTCGATATTCAAATTCAAATTCTCCTGAGCTTGAATCGTCGTCGTCCAACAACATGCGCGAAGTCAAATTAATCTCTTCTTCCATGTTTGTTTCAAAAGAAACCTTTGAAATTCTCTCAGTAATGCAGAGAAGGAGTCTGGTGGTGAGATTCTTGTGGTGCGATTGGAATTGGACTCAACACTTCGAAAGAACGCTACTTGAAGCCAGGATCAGGGGCGATTTTGACGAGCAGGAGGTATCATGGTAGGAAAGCGAGGAGGTGGGGCGGGAGATGGGGTGGGAGATGGGAGGAGAGGAGGAGGAGGGGAGGATACAAGAACGAGAGAAGAATATGTTGTGTGATGGGAGGAAGAATTGTGTGCACGCCAAATCAATTTTCACATCATCATCTGATTACCCCACCCCCCCCGTGGGTCTTCTGATCGGGATCTCCCTGGGTGGGTGCTGGAAGTATCTGTGATCCCTTCTCTTGGAACAGGTGGGGTAGTAGAGGCAATCAGACGGGTACAGTGAAACAGTACGGGTTAAGATAACGGGATTTATGTGGGAATATATGGGGGTAATACTCACCAATGGGTCTACCCCTACCAACCTCGAGGTTGGTAGGGGTAGACCAATCCATGGGGGTGAAGTACACGATGAGATCGTAGGGGCGCAGGATTGTTCCTTCAACATTTGAAGTTGAGATGAAATTCAAATGTTTTCAGTATTTGAATTTAATGAATATCATTTGGCTTGATTGTGCAATTTATTGCATAAAAGATTTGGTCAAGCCTGATAAAAAGAAGAAGCATCTATATTGATACCCCCACCTCCATAGTTTCAGTACCCACCCTTCCAGAACGAAACATTTTGAGCTAGTGCACCCCTCTTTCCATATTGTCGTCATAGTAGTACCACCCCAACAAACAAGATCGGTCCAGATTGTAGCTCTTTTTTTTTAATAAAGGAAGCCCTATAGACCCCTGACCCCTGAGATCGCCACAAACTACCTACCCCATGCTTCGAAGACCCTCCTGTGAATCTTCAGAGTACCCTACCAGGTGTGTTCAGAGTACCCTACCAGGTGTCAACTACTTTTTTAGCATCAACCCGTCAATGGTCAAGGAAAACACCCCACCCTTTGATAGTATTCTGTTACCACCCCACTGGCTTTCGGCCACTTTTTGGTTTCCTGTACCCTTTTGGCTGGACCCCACCCCACCCTACAGCTAATAAGGGATCCAGTCCTCAAATGTAACGCGGAACAATGTACCCCCACCCCCCATTTCCCCTTTCTTCACCATTGTCATCCAATGACCCACCCCCTTTCACCCTTCACCCCCTCCTCCCTCAGGGGTTCGGTCTGTTGGCTGCAGCAAACATGTCGTGCATGGCAACAGTCTGGGGAGACGCAACATGCGGCTGACCATGGCTGTCTCCACTTCCATCATCCCTTTCCAATGGCACGCGCTTCTCTTTTGTTTCAGCTTTTTAGTTCTGTTGCGATGCATTGGTTTGCCTTGACGCTTGTATGCGACATACGTAGAAAAATGCTGTTTTTGTCTGGTTCGTGTAATCTTGTCATCCTGTATTGGTGTGATGCTACAAAGCTCTAAAGATTGAGGAAATTTGGATGATTTAGCAAGGAAAATCTTTCACACGTGATCCTTTTGCGTTATGCTTTCTTTCTTGAACAAAGTTATCTCGCGCTCTCACTCCATCATGTTCGGAAGTTTGACCATTGCTGATCTTTTGCACAACATAGGCTGTGTACTTGCCTTAAGGCACGTCGATGATATGTTCGGGATAGAGGTGGACCCAGAAGATATACTTGCGGGCCTTAAAGGCAGCACGGACGAGGTGAAAGATGAAGGCAGTTTGGCGGCAGATTACCAGCGCCAAAAAGATGCTTTGGAGCTTTTCAATATGGACATATTGACGTGTGATAATGTAGATGTCATTTTTCAGAAATATCGTCCAGGTACATTTCTTCCTGCCCTATGCCATGTTTTCATGGATACCAATGCGCCGCTTGAAGTGTTGGAAAGTGCTGCAAGAGCAATAACCTATTTCCTTGATGTCCATGTGGACAGCACGGCCAGAAAGGTCGTGGAGGTCAATGGTGCAGTGAAATCCTTCTGCAAAGCCTTGGTTCTTTTTCCTATCAAAGATTCAAATGATTTGGACATGATTCGAATGTCGAGGTAAGATCGAGTTCAACATTTGATGCTTTTACTAGCCTCTTCCGTTAAATTCCAGCTGACAATCTGTGTTTGCTCAGGGACGTTGCAGAGCAATCTGTCAAGGTGTTGGAGCTGCTTTGCCGACGTGAAGCTAGGGCTGTATTTGAAGCAGATGGGCTACAAAGCTTGTTGAACTTTGTCAATGCGAACGCATCAACCTTGCACAAAGATACGTTGCAAAGCTCTCTGTCAGTAGCTTCCATGCTTTGCCGCCGTCTCAAGGCTGACCACCCGGCTTTTTCTTCGTGTGTTGCATCGCTCACAGCTTTTCTTGACCACAAGGATACCGTTGTTGTCGACCATGCTATCGAATCATTGAGCACTCTAGTGGACATGCTTTCTCATGCAAACGTTGATTTAAAGAGACTCAACGAACACGGACTGGTCGACAATCTGATCAAGCTGATGGCTACAAGAGAAGAGCTCGACCATAGTGAACAAGATATCGCATTTCCCATAGGAAAAGTCGTACATTTGCTGCTTTCATTGTTGAGAGGTTCGAAGAGTCTCGCCGAAACCGTTCTGGAAGGGCCGATTGTAAATGCAATTAGGGTGGTGCTTGCAGCTCGTGAAGATGAAAAGACAAGCTTGTCTGTATTAGGTCTTATGGATTTAATTGTTACCTTTCTTTTCAAAGGGTACGATGGCATCCAGAAATCACATGGATCACAAGATGATAGAACGGTTTATGATGATAGTCATTCTCGAGACTTGGGAGCAATCGATGCGATTCGAAACAATAATTTGGAATCCCTGATTGAGGCAATAGAGAACGGTACAGATGTGAACTTTGCTGATCCTTTTGGTCAAACGATTCTTGTGTGGGTGGCATACTCTGGAACCGAGGATATGGCAGAATATTTGATTAGAAATGGAGCAGATCCAAACCTGGGAAGAAATCCACCTTTGCATTATGCAGCAAGATTTGGAAGGCCAAGAATGGTCGAGCTTCTCCTAAAACATGGAGCGGAGCCTCTCAAAGTTGATCTTGAAGGGAAGACAGCATTGGATCAGGCTCGAAGCTCATCAAATATACTCAAAGAAGGTCAACATGAAGAGGTACACTTTAATTATCGAAGAGCAGCAGTTTTTGATGTTGCTGTAGGTGATAAGGATTTTGGAAGCTGCCGAATCGAATGCAAAGCAAAATCTCATATCTAATCCAGGAATGCTGGGGAATGACGAGAGTGAAGAGGAAGACCCTTCGCTGAATTTATGTGAATATGGAGAATATGTTGTAGGTTTTCTTGTTCGTTTTCTACCTATTCTTGTTCGGAGGTATCAGAACACTATGCAGATGCCCGTAAGGAAGAATGCCATAACACTGATTTCAAAAATGATTTCACTCTGCTCTCGCGAACTGCTCTCAAATCTTTTACACAAATGTGCTGCTGATTGGGAATCAGATGATTCTGTTATTGTAAGCCCTGTGAAATCTGGAAGCAAGCTCAAGAACAGCAGTTACTCGCAACGTGAATTTGGAAATCTTTTGGTTGACTTTCTTGCAATGGTACTTCCAGCAGATGAGGAGATTGGATTTTTGAAGATAGGAATCAAAATTGTGCGGGATGTGATGCGTAGATGCCCTGATGACTTTTTCCATTTGCTACTTCGGGAAGGCATCGTCAACAATGTGGAAATGTTGTCAAGCAATTCAGATTCGAATCCCAAAAAGCAGGATTTGGCATATTTTGCCAGAAATGTCTTGGACAAGTATTTCACTAAACGTACTGCCACTCCAATTGGTTTGGTTGCTGAATTGAGAAGCGTTTGTGATCGTATAATTCAACTATTCATTCCAGGCGTCAATGGGTTGACCCCAACAAGTTCCGAAATCGAGGCAGTCCTCCAAGATCTTGTTCGATTTCTTCAAGTTGAAAACGTTGTCTCACCATTCGAATTGGAGAATGCAGGTGTAATTGAGGCTCTTATCGTGCTATTGCTATACAAAGACCCAAACGACGAATTCTCAAATCTTGAGGACTCATTGCTGAAACGACGAACGATTCTGCTGACAACATTGTTGCGTGATACCAACAGTGAAGGCGGCTCACCGCTTGTCACCCTGTTGAGGAAGCTTCAAACCATTTTGTCGTGTATTGAGAGATTACCGATTTATTCACATTCATCGAACAACTCATCTTCTTGCATAGATTCTATCAAAACTCCGTTGAACATAAGTCTGCGGCGGGCACCTGGTGAAAAGGAGCTTCTCGATTGGACTGGGAAAACAATGAAGGTTGAGCCGCTAGTTACAGTTTCAACGATTGAGGAATTTCTTTTGAGAAGAGTTGTACCGCAATGGTATGATCATGACAGATGTGAAATGAATTTTTTCCGGATTCTTGATGACAGTGAGGAGAAACATGAATTCATTTACAGCCGAGATTTTGACAAAAACGGAGTAATCTACTTCATCGGCTCGAACGGAGGTTCAAAGGAATGGATAAATCCTGCTTCACATGGTCTAGTATTCATAACATCATCCGATGGCCGCACGTTACCTTACGGCAAAGTTGAAGATATTCTTAGCAGGTCGTCTGATGCGCAAAATTGCCACACGAAGGATCGATCAAGCTCATGGTTTATTATCGATTTAGGATTGAACTTGATCCCATCTGCATATACACTCCGCCATGCATGCGGATATGGGAGGTCAGCTCTGAGGACATGGCAGTTGCAAATGTCGACGGATGGTGTTAATTGGACTACAATCCGATCGCATGACAATGATCAGGGCATGGTGGAACCTGGCTCGACATACACATGGGATTTGGATACACCAGAGACTTCACATGGTTGGAGGTATGTACGAATAATACAAACAGGGCGAAATGCTGGCGGGAAGAATTACCTATCACTTTCTGGATTTGAAATATATGGTACAGTTACCTCTGTTGCCCTTGATAGACCAGGAAAGCAGTTGATGGAAATCGAAGCATCCGCACGTCTGGAGGCAAGGCGACAAGTGCACAAATTTCAAGTTGGAACAAAAGTTGTAAGGGGATTCGATTGGAAATGGGGTAGCCAGGATGGAGGGCAGGGAGAAGTTGGAATTGTGCAAACAGAAATCAATGAAGGCTGGGTGGAAGTACGCTGGGAAAACGGTGAATCAAATAGGTATAGAATGGGAGCCCAGAACTGCTATGATTTGAAGTTGTTTGATGACTCCACCCCGAGCCCAGTCGATAGCGATGAAGAAGTAGATGACGACAGCGAAGTGAACCTCACACATTCAAGTGTACAATGCGACGGCTGTGTGAAGTTTCCCCTCGTTGGAAATCGCTTTCGATGTTCTGTTTGCAAGGATTATGATCTTTGCGAAGGTTGTTACTTGGATGATGTGCATGCAGAAGAGGGTCACACATTCTACGTGATTCGAAAACCTGGGGCCAAGCGGCGCATGCTTCCTTGTCGACAGATTTCACATTCTGAGAACACTTTCACAGATCGTTCTCACACTTGGGAATCACATGTGACGCTGAAGAGAGAATTTTCGTCACTCGAAGCTGCGTTTGATCCTCGCAGGAACCGTACTACAACCGAACAGCCGGTTACTCTGGAAATTGAAGATCCAGGGACAGTTCGAAACAACTCTACGCAGCAGGTGCGGAGCCCAGAAAAGTCCTCACGGCAACGACTTGCCCTTTTCATTTCGATGCCCTCTGATGCAAACAGTGTTCGTATTTCGTGCGATGCGGTCCATGTTGACCGTGCAGAATTGCTGGATTTAGAATCAACCATTTTTCGGGTTGTGCACAAGAAGTTTTATTCATCACAAAATCCAGCCTCATGTACCTCAACCAATAAGATATGGGATACGACATTCACTATCACATATCGCCTAGCGCGCGAATCTGATGATCCGCATGCAGGTGACAGCCTTCCATGGACGCCTGCATATGTCGCTGAACATCTCGGAAGTGATACCTTATCGAAAGGAGAGGTCGTATTATGCATGCAAGAACGTGCCACTTCTGATTGGCTCAAACTATGGAAACTGTCCGGGAACGTGAAGCAGGTGTCTAAACGGAATAATTGCTCAAAGATCATAGCAGCATACAATTCATTTTACGGAGATCCTGTCACAAAATCGTTGCCGTCCCGTTCAGCAAAAAGCAAAGATGACATTTCATCTGATGGAGACTCGTATTTGAGCAGGCAAGAAATGATGCTTGCTGAATTCATGTCGAGTCATGGCTTGAGTGATAAAGTTAATCGAATTTTACAATTCTTAAAGATAGTTAACGAGAGTCTGGAAGATTTGAACTCGATACATCAGGATATTGCGCAGGAATTGATTAATCAAAAGCTTTCCAATAAGTTGAAGCAACAGCTTTCGGATCCTCTGGCCATTACATCTGGGTCTATGCCGAAATGGTGTCACGAGGTCGTGACGAAGTATGCACCCGTATTTCCTTTTGAAATCAGGTTTCAATATTTCGCACATTGTTCCTTCGGTGTAGATCGAAGTGTTGCTGCGATTCAATCTGCGCAAGATAAATCACCAGAGCGGGTTAGTTTTGTGGTTCGATTTATTTGTTACTGAAATATTTTCATGCAGGTGCGCCAGCGAGCAAATGCTCGAACTCGTGAAGAGGACACATCTAGATCTCTTGGGCAATTAAAGCAGGAGAGAGTCGTTGTGAAAAGAGGTAGCCAAATCCTGGAATGGGCAATGAGTGTTATGAAAGTGCATGCTAAGCGAAAAGCTATCCTAGAGGTCACTTTCGCAGACGAGGAAGGGCATGGCTCAGGTGTAACCAACGAATTCTACTCCTTAGTTTCAGATGCCTTGCAACAGAGAGACCTTGGAATGTGGATTTGCGACGATCTGGACAATACATTGAAGAAGAATCGCAATAGTAGTTTTGAAACTTTTGATACAGAAATCGCGTTGTCTCCTATGAAGAAGGCCAAGGCAAAGACAGATGGTGACCTGGAGATCGCTTTCGAGGTCAACAGGTATGTACATCGTGACTGCGGACTATTCCCAGCTCCACTTCCGCCAAACGCCCCTAATAAGGATGCAATCTTGGAGAAATTTCGTTTTCTTGGAACATTCTTGGCAAAAGCCTTGCTTGATAATAGGTTGATCAGTCTACCGTTAGCGTATCCTCTCTTCAAGATCCTGTGCCATTACCCACTGAATGCATCTGATCTTGCCTTCATCGACCCAGAAAAGGCGAGACATCTCGCACAGCTACATGAAGTTGCAGTTGTCAAGAAATCAGCAGATCTCGAAGAAGATCCACACAGGAAACAAGAAATGCTACAAAGCCTGCCGGACGTTGAAGTTTATTGTCTCACAATGCAGTATGCCCCGTCATCGACCATTCACGGCTTCAGATCCTACGACTTGATTCCTGATGGCGGTAGCGTCACAGTAGACATTGACAACGTGCATGAATATGTCGAACGTATGTACAATTTCATGCTCGATGAAGGCATCTGCGAGCAGATCGAGGCCATCCGTAAAGGGATTTCAGAAGTATTCCCAGAGTCTCACCTCAAGGCTTTCACGCCTTCTGAGCTTCGCAGCATGCTGTCTGGAGAGTCCAACGTGTCATGGAGCAAGAATGATCTGCTGGAGCATCTAGAACCACGAAACGGCTACGACATTGAAAGCTCCACCTTTCAGCATCTAGTTCACGTCTTGTGTGATCTCGACGAGCGGGAAAGGAAAGATTTTCTGCGGTTTGTGACTGGAGTCAGGGTTCTGCCACCGGGAGGCCTCAAGAACTTGGACCCGAAGCTCACCGTAGTCAGGAAGCATTGCGAGAATGACCCTGATGATCACTTTCCTTCAGCCAACACCTGCTTCCATTTCCTCAAGCTCCCTGAGTACTCGTCGACAGAAATACTCGCGTGCCGGCTCAAGACAGCTCTGCAGCATGGCATGGATGGTTTCTACTTCAATTAGAAGACCAAGAAACTCTCGCATGTTGTTTGTTTACATGCAGCGTTTATTGACTTCTCAGTAAAATAGTTTGTATTGCACATGAGCCTCACGCTGAGGCGCTGGGAGATTGAGAGGAGCAGAACACTGAGCTCCTTCACTCTCAAGATGAGAATGCCTTCCTCATGGCTCTCGGAACGGATCGCAACTTGACTGACAAGACTCTGACAGCGTTCCTGTCAAGCGATCTTGTCAGGCATGCGGTGATAGCCAGCGCTCCTCCCACGGCTGTGTTCCACCCGAAGCTCTCCCCGATGAACATGGACCCGAACGCTGCAGCCCACAGCGGCTCGGTAGAGAACATGAGAGCTGTCTCAGAGCTCGAGAGTTTCCCCACCACGACTGTCTCCATCCCCAACACAAAAGCTGACGACATGATCCCCATCCACAAGAGCGCCAGGCACTCCTGCAAGGACGGGAGAACAGCGCCTACGTCCTGTGCAAGGCTTTGCCCCACCTGATGCGCTCCCAGCTGTTTCGCCGCGTCTGTGAGCATTGGGGCTGCTGTTGCCGGGTCGACGGCATGCAGCAAGTCCCAGTGCCCGACGGCAGCGACTGCGCAGCTCATGACAGCAGTGACGAGCGTTTGGATCGAAGTGATCTCCAGCGCCTGGGAGGGATTCTCATGCACCGTCCGCTCTGTCTTGAACAAATACAAGCCGAAAAGAAAAGGTTGCAGGATCCCCCAGAAGTCTGCTCCTGTCGGCAGAGAGCCTCCGCCCAGCTCCAAGCAAGCAGCTCCACAAACGGCAAGAAACGCAGCAGCCCATGCCCTCCTCTCCAGCCTGATGCCTGTCGTGGCCTCGAGGAAGGGACAGATGACGGTCGTCATGGAGGCGAAGAAGGCTGCAACGCCGGAGTCAGTTCCTCCGGTCAGACTGACCGACTGCACGAAGTATCCGCCAGCAAGCCATGCGCCAGTCTCAATCGATGGAACGATGATTTCTTTCTTGGCGCGGAACAGCCAGGGACTCAAAACTGCAGCAGCGATGATGAAGCGGACAGCAAGGATGGAAGAGCCGTCGAAGAAACCACCGTCAAGCACCTTGATCGCTCCAAAGTTGATGCCCGAGAGAGCGACTATAAAGAGCAGCCAAGCTCGTGCCGTTCCCACGTCAAGAGAAGTCGAGAAGTCTTCAACCATCTTCGCTAGAGTCTCAGGGATCGACTCCTCCTTTTTCTTGGTCTTGCCCGTTGATCCCCGCGCCTGCTCAGAAACTTGAGGGAGGAAGGAGAGTGGAGTGTAGAGGTCTCGGCCGATGGCTCTACTCCTCATCTTCCTTCGATCCAACAAGGATCGTTGCTCCTCCTTCCTCTGCATCTTCAACGAGCAAACGCTGTCACCTCTTTGCCTCAAGCACGGCAGTCCCAGTGTAGACTGTGGGACATGAAATGCTGAGGCCGTCGACACCAGAGTGAAAGACAACAAGACCCAAGAGGTGGTCGGCATGACTTCTGCGACAACAGGTCAAGAGAAATCTACATGCAGAGATCGTCAGATGGAACATTCACAGAGAAGGCACATTCACTTCTACGTCTTTGCCGCGTAACATACACACTGAGGTCAATGCGATCGAACTTTTCAACTACAATCTACTTCCCCTTTGCTTCCCCTTTCATGGTCCTATGGCTTGATTCTTACAAATCGTCTCTTCGCATAGTTCGGTGTCCTGCAATCATTGTATTCCTCTCATGGATCGCCACAGTGCAGCCTTGCTCCCGCGAACACAGGTGCTGGGTCGATCTACGATTTTTTTCAATGCTCCTTCCTTACTCATCATCTTTCTTCTGTCCTAATCAGATCGTACGAATATCTTCCATAATTTCGCAAACGATTTTGATGCCATCGAGCATCTTTTCGTGTTTCCATGATCATGGCACCAACTTGCATCTCTGGTGATTACGAACACAAACACGACAGAAACAGGGCAGACAAGATCCCTTGCACGATCGCATATCATTCCTCGCCTGATTTCCTTCCTGTATCCTCCTCCTCCACGTTCTCCTCCTCCTCTCCATCCTCCTCCTCCTCCACAGACAACATAGCGACTCCTTCGCCATGTCCCAGCCCCTCCATTCCCACGGTTCCACCCCACCCCCACACTGTTGTATCCCCCACCCCTCCTACACCAGTACCCACATCATAGGTCAATCACATGTGAATCTCAAATGTACCCCTCCTTTATGACCCTACCCCTCAGATATACCTTGACATCCTATCATACCCGTCATTTCACAACAATTAGCTATCTACACCCCATTATTCAGTTCATTTTACCCCCTTTATTCACAGAATATCATAACCCTTGATGGATATACCCACCATCAAAATTTAATACCCACCCAAAATCTTGATAGTACCTGGCCCTTCACACCCACCCCTTCCATACATACCCCACCCACACATCTATTGATGACCCCACCCGCTTCCTCCAAACAAAAAAGCTTTGTAGTTGTGACCCAACTACCCACCCCTCACTCGATACCCACCCCTACCCCACAATGAACACCCCACCCTGCATCTCCAATTCGCACTGTATATTCCAGGAGGGTTTACAGATATGGTCACCCCTACCCACCCAGACAATCAGTCCCTGAGGGTACCACCCACCTGATAAAACCAAAATTCTGTTATGGTTTTCCTGGGTACCTCGATGTACCCCACCCTTCCAGTTTCAGAATTGTTTGTTCATTTACCACCCCTGCTACACCCATGGTGCTTCTGACTACCCCACCCCCCGTAAAAGAGTACCCACCCCGTCAAGAACCAGTGAACTCCTTGCCCTGCATTCCCTCCCATCTTCCTTGAAAACGAACATGGTCTAAAAATAAGGGTAGGGGTATATACCACTACCCTGATTTCGTAAAAGATTATAGAAGAATAAGAATAGGTAGGGTAATGACCCCACCCATACATCATCACCATAGCGTGATCTCCCCCCACGTGAGACACCCTCACCGTTCGGTGTACCCCGAACACCCATCGACCACCCCCTAAATTCATGTTAAAACCACCCGTGTATATCCCCTTAGATGCCGGCAGGTGCAACCGTGACGCCGGGCGCCGCTGCCTCAAGACGATGAGAAGTCACGTTACCTTATGGGCCGGGCCCCGGGCCGCCGGGCCGCCGGGCCCCGGGCCGGGCACGGTCCCGGCACCCCGGGTGACCGAACTCACCCGGCGGCCCCCGGGCCCGGGCCGCTAGGCGGACTCTCCTGGCAACATCCGCCTCCTGCTCCTTCAAGCTTCCTGCCAGGCTCCACAGTCGTTGCTGCGCTGCTTCTTCCTTGGCTCTGCTTCCTCCCTCCTGCTCCTGCTCCTGCTCCTGCTCCTGCTCCTGCTCCTGATCCTGCTCCTGCTCCTGCTCCTCCTCCTCCTCCTCCTCGCCTCTCACCACCTTCACTTCCCGCACTCTTCCCCTGCCCATCCTGCTCCCATGATCCCCTGCTCTCCGCGTCCCTTCTCCATGGCTCTCAGGCTGCTCGTCTTGGCTTCGCTCCTTTACACGGAGGCAGCTGAACCCTGACGGTCAGCGTCGCTCGCGTCTCCTCCGATCCTCCGACGCGAGCGACACATCATCGTGACACAAAACTGTGAATCTCTTTCCCCGTCCTCCTCCATCTCCACCTCTCCCTCCTGTCGCTCCTCCTGTTTCTTCAGCCGTTTGAGGGGCGGGTATTCTTCTTCCTCGTCCTCACGAGAGGATTCTGACGGGGCATACGCGAGCCACTGGGACCCCCCCACACACACAAAGCTCACGGAGGAGGAGCTCAACAAAGAGTACGCGTGGGAGTCAGACGCAGAGGCCATGTCCTCCCGCAGGTTCATGATGGGCGATTACGTTCCCAGCGACAAGAACGAGGGCGAACTCATGCACGTGAGAGAGCTCAAAGGCGACTTGCCTCCTTGGTACAACCCCGCTCAGTTCTCAGTCTGGCACAAAAGGTGGCAAGAACACTGTCATTGTGCGTCCTCCTTGTATGTCGCTCTTCTCTCCAACATGGAGTTCCGTCCCCTCCCTGCAGTTTTTGCCTTCTTCTCCCCTCTTGCTTGCCCTGCTTGTCGCTGAATTCATCTTTTCTCTCCCCCCACCCCCCCTTCCCCCATCCCTCTTCCCTCTCTCCTCCATTTCTCCTCTCCTCCCCCTTCCTGCCTTTCCAGGTGGGTGAGGGAGCTGGAATATCAGCGTCTCCTGCACTACCGCGGGTATCAAAACAAGCAGAATGTGAATGAGCTGAGGCATCCGGGAATGTCGTTCGGGGAGAGAATCTCCTGCTTCTTCCAAAACTTCAACAACTTCTCAGCTCCTCCGTCGCTTGGCTTGCATGTGATCCTTCGTCGTTCTATGCTTCCTCTTGTGAAAGTTCAGCAGGGACCAATGTTAGTTTCAGCTGGGATGCGAAACATCTTCCCTCTCTTCCATGACCTGAACATCACAGTAGAGGACGACGAGGAGGAGCAGGTGCCTGTGCAGCATAAGCATGTGCCGGGGAAAGCGGAAGCGAAGCCGTTGATGCCTGATTTCGAGAACTTGAGAATTTCCGCAAAGATAAGCACCAATGTGTTCCTCAGCTGGACTTGGAGCTGGGATGCAGCCCGGCAGCAGCGGAATCTCTCAGCAGAGGAAGCAGAAGAGCTGATGACAAGCGTAAAGATGGTGGAGGTGAGGAGAGGGAAGGAAAGGAGGAGGGGACGGAAGGAAGTGATGCTCGGCTCAGGTTCGCATCGACGGGACGGAGAGAGGGGAATTCATGTGCGAGCAAGATTCCGGCTGGGGTACACCTAGAGGTCTGCAGGGGCTGTGGCTGGACTGCATGAAAGAAGGAAATCATACGGTTTGCCTACGTGTGTTCCGTGCTCCCCCACGTGGATACTCCAAGAATATGCGAGGAGCTTGGAGCTCGGCCATCAAGTTTCAGGTGATTCCCTTCTATCGGAATGTCTCGAGGGTCGAGGACGACAACTCTCCTTCTGCTCGCTCGCACTCGCAGAGCAGAGCAAAAATCGACAAGCGCAAGCTGCTGGTGTGGGAGCAGACCAAGGATGCGATATCGATGGCGGAAAAGGCTGAGATAATGCAAGGTGTGATGAAGGAACTGTCCCAGGAACTTTCACTGCCTCTCCCTGACGTCTCAGAGGATTTGGTGCTGGACGAGGAGCAGGAAGCTCTACTAAAGCTTCTGTCGAATCAGTCGGAGACTCTTCATCAATCATTCGTATCGCATGCAAGAGCGCTGGAGAGATCTCGGGTAACTTGTGTTGTTGCTTGTTTTGTTGTTGATGGGGCCATACAGAATTTTTCACAAGAACAAACTTACGATGTAATCTCTCACATCCTGTCTTGAAACCTCTCTCATCTCTGCCTTTGCAGGATCTCTCGAGCTTGTTCCTACGAGCTGACGATCTTGGGCATGCTTTGAGAGAGCAGTTGAATCAGAATAAGTGGCGACAGGAGGAACCGCCGCCTCCCGAAAATGTTCCCCTTAAACTTTATCTCGGACGAACCTCACGCTCCATACAGGTGACCGTCAGCTGGACTTCTCCTGGAGGCAACACGACTGCGTCCTCGGGAGACGGCCTTCAGCTCTTTGCGGTAGAGGAGGAGGAGCTGTGGCTCATAAGGGAGACCGACAAGGGCTTAGAGGAGATGAACGTGACCTTGGCGTCCTCCGACTTCACCTGGCAGAGGAAGCCTCGCTCGTGTGACTTCTACATGCGCAATGGCTTCTGCCTGAACGGCAAGACTTGCCGCTTCCTGCACTCCGGTCGACCAGCCCGATCCTCACTGCAGCGAGCCATGGCCTCCGTCCTCAACTCGTACCCAAACGAGTTTGAGGCGCTGAGGGGGGAGGACAGTGAGCTTGAGGAGGAGGACCTGGATCAGTTGATGCTGCTTCTCGGTCAGGACTACCCGGGATGGTATCTCACACGAGATCGTGTAGCAAAGCTCGTAAAAGATGTCTTGCCCTCGATCAGGAAGAAGAGGAGGAAGAGCTCGTGGGCAGGGATGACAACGAGGATGCGGCGAGGCAGAGACACGAGGGATCTGGGGGAAGCATCGAGTTCTCAAGCTGTGGATGAGGCGGAGAATACTGATGATTCCTTCTCACGATCCTCTCATCATTGGCCGTGAAAACCGAGATAAGACAAAAGACGCTTCGTGCCAAACAGCTTTTACTTAAACATGCATCGCCGCAGCATTGTTGAAACAATAATGCATCGACAACAAAGGTTCTGCAGCTTCAAATAGAAGATACGTCGAACAAGACATCACAAGTAGGCGAGATCCGTCAAGTTAGCGGAACATGGGATATAGTAGATTTGTGAATGACAGATTAGAACTGGTTGTTCCTCTGTGGAAAACCGCTGCAGGTGTCCTGAAACAAGCTTTCAACATTCATTTTTCTCCACATGCAGTCACTGACCGACATCGACTCCTTCTCGCCGTGAATGGTGGTGATCTTGTTGCACTCACGGTTTGTAAACCACGAGAACTTGTCGTTCCTATCACAAAGTCACATCACGAAGCAACGCGACAGAATCATCCATACCAGTCTTTCTTCTCCGAACTGTTTTCTTCGACCGCACGCAACTAGAACATATACAGTCAGAAACGCTCAAATGTTTGGAAGATAGTTTCGAAAACTCTTCGAATGGAGTTCAAAACCTTGCCTTTCATTCCTCAAACAGTCACAATTCAACTACTACACAACCACAAACACAGCTAACCCACTACATATCCCCCCACACCCCTCCCTACACACACATCTAAGTCTGTTCTCACTCGGAACTACAATTATTCTCAAGCTTTTCCTCGCCTTCCTCCTTTCCACCTCCTTTCAACGTTTCAGAGCAACCTTTCATCACACCCTTAGCCTCACAACAGGAGTTCGCCCGTCTCTCATGAAGCCCATATGCTCTTACTTCAATGACCATCTTCCCCTGAAAGCCAATAGCTTTCGCTATCCCCTTTGCATGTTCCTGACCTCATCCTCTACACTCCGCTGCCCTAGCCCAAAACATTATTCCACAGTGGAATATGACGCAATCAGCATAAAACTCTTTTTGTACCACCACCTTTCTATCATCGTCTTCCTTCCTCCCTCCCTCTACATTATCATCATCATCCTCATCCTCGCCATCGTCGCTGCCTCCACTTCCTCTGCTTCATCTCGCTTGTTACTCACCAGCGCGAACATTTTTGCTCCACCGAAATAGACCACAACCCCTACCCCCCAGGTTGTATCGAATCACCCTTCGCTGTTCACATTTCCTCCAGTACCCCTATCCTCTACACCCCTACCTCCTTTCTGATACTCGTTTGGTATGTCAAGTACCTAACAAATGACTACCACTACCCCCTCAATCCCTCCAACTTCCCATACGGAAGCCATCCTTTCTCAACCGTTTTGTAACGTTTATTTCCGGCCGTCACTGGGTGCCTGAGTAAAGAGGGTGACTCAGTACCGTACGGTGCCGCCCGGCCGCCCCGGCCGCCCGGGCCCGGCGGGCGGCCGGGCGGCACGGGCAGGGGTCGGACTGAGCCGGGCACGAGTCACCGGGCCGCGCCCGGGCCCCGGGGCGCCGGTGACCGGTCGCGGCGCCGGGCTGACTGAGTCCCGGCGGAGTCCGGAGTCCGGCCCGGCCCGGCTGCCAGGCTCCGGGCCCGGCCCTCGGACTCAAATTGAATACCGTCGGCGTAACTTAAGCCTGGCGTTTCCTGGCAGGCTAGCCTAGCCTGAGTTACTGAGCGGCCGGGCGGGCAGGCGGGGGCCCCGCGGGCCCGTTCAACTGAGCGTCACACTAAAGTAAAGTTGCCGTGATTCATAGCACGGCGCGTGCGCGGCCGCACCTTTGGCACTGGCAGTGGCGCTCGGCCCACCCGGGCGGGCCCGGCCCGGCGAGTCAAGCATGAATGCTGATTCCAAGTCTAGTACAGACGGACTCCGGGAGTCCCGGGCCGCCGGGCGGCCCGGCCGGGGCCGGGCGGCCAGGTCCGATCCCCGGCGGGGCGGCCGCCGAGCCTCGGAGCTCACAGGCTTGAAAAGTTGAAATACGGTCACTGAGCGGACTCCGGGAGTGTCAGCCGCGGCCGCGGCACTGAGGCCGGCCCGCCACCGGCCTTAATCATGACTCCGCACGGGCCGCGCCGCTCAGGGGCGCCGGGGTAAGGAGGGGTGATGGGACTGAACTCTACGGACCCGAGCTGCGGGAGTGTGGAGGGGGGGTCACCCATCTATCAGCATTGGACAAACGGGGGGTAGGGGGTCAGGGGGTCACTGGATCCGCCGGCGGCGGTCCGATCAGGGTTTGCAGGGTCCGAAGGTCTGACGCCAGGGTAGGGGTACTATAATCGTCTAGGGGATATCGAGCACAATGGGGTAGTTTTATGGGGTAGGGTGATAAAATTCGGGGATTGGAGTAGATATTGATAGGGTACTTTAACAGTCAATGTACCCCTTCAATGAAAGATTGAGGGGGTATGCTTGTTGAAGGGTAGGGTCCAATGCAATCGGGGTCACAGGGATAATACGGCTGGTGGGAGGCCGCACGTGCGGTGAGGGGGTTAAAAGAGGGAGCGGAAAGAGGAAAAGGGAAAACCAGCTCAGTACCGACCGAAGCAGCGACGATGGGAAAGAACAAGAGAGAAAGCAAGAAGAAGGAGGAGTCAGAGGAGGAAGAGGAGGAAGAACAAGAAGAGGAGGAGGAAGAGGAGGAAGAGGAGGAGGAAGAGGAGGAAGAGGAGGAGGAGAAGCCTCAAAAGGGCAAGGGTAAGAAGGACTCGAAGCCCCCCCCAAAGAAGAAATCTAAGAAGGAGGAAGAGGAGGAGGAAGAGGAGGAGGAGGAGGAGGAGGAGGAGGAGGAGAAACCGAAGGGCAAGAAAAAGGGATCGGCCAAGTCCAGCTCAGGCTTTGAAGACGAGGAACTCGATTGCAAGGATTGCGGAAACAAATTCATCTTCAGCGCTGGAGAACAAGAATTCTATCAGTCAAAAGGCTTCGACAACAAACCCATGAGGTGCGAGGAATGCAAGAAAGCCAAGAAAGCTCGTTTCAATGACGGCGGCGATCGCGGTGGCGGACGTGGTGGCGGACGCGGAGGAAGGGGCCGTGGCGGCGGGGGCCGTGGTGGCGGCGGTAGAGGAGGGCGCGGCGGCGGCGGCGGCGGCGGAGGAGGCGGCGGCGTTTGCTATGCCTGGCAGAAGGGAGAATGCACTCGTGGCGATTCTTGCCGCTTCTCTCACTCCTAGAGCCTGAGGGATCGAAGGAGCAAATGTTGCAGAATCCTTGTGCTAATGGTGCACGTGCAATTTTGAGAAGTTTGTTCGCTGAATCATAGATTAGCTTGTAGAACAATTTTCCCATTTTCTTTTGTAACAATTTGCCATATGAATAAATTCAAGAAATGCAAGATAGAGGTGTTCGCCTATGTGTACACTCATGTTCTCCCTGCTTGCACAACATCTTCGATTTCGTTCTGTAATTCTTCTGATACCTGTAAGCAAATGAGAAAACTCTTGATAGTCAATCTTGAATTGTTCGGATTACCGCCGTGCACACAAGCGCTAATTGCTGTAGCGTTTTGTTCGATTCCAAACATGTTAACAGCGCCTGTGCTCCTGTGTCTTGTATGTTCTCACATTCTCCAAGCCAAAGATTTCTACAATACCAGTGAGATGCAAATGAAGCCATCTTTACATCCTGACCTTAGAGTACAGTTTTGCTTTAGGGACTCAGCAATTGCTTTTGCCCCCTCATCCCCGATACCAGTTCCCCACAGACTCAGATCTGACGTAAATTGAGTAGAGGTTGAGACGATCAGAGTGTAACTACCTTCAAGGGTCTTGTTCTCCGCCAACCCTTTCGCTAAGCTCTTGGCCCCTTCATCTGAAATGGAAGGGTTTCCATCCAAACTCAGACTGCGCAAGCACTGCCATTGATCTGATTGGAGCATCTTTGCGATTTTGCTGACAACATGATCGTCAAGCTCGCATCGAGCTAATGTGATGCTTTGTATGGATCCTTTAGCCAAACATCTTTCGATACGAAAAATCTCAAGAAAATCACACAATTCCATGATATACCTGTCCAGCTTATCCAAAGCATCCTCATCGACCTTGAAATGAGATGAGACATCGTTCGAGATTGCCACGTCATTAGATTACCTTGATGCCTGTGATTTGAATGGATTTTTCTTTTCCGATCGCTTCCAAGATCTCGTTAATGCTCGCACAAGGGTTTGAAGCATGATCGAAGTTGAAGAAGTTGTGTGATTGTGATAGTTCATCTGTATCATCCAAGCCCAAACAGCTATCTTCGGACAAGTTTGGCACGCTGAACTTTCTTGTCCGTTCAAGGTCTTCATTCACAAGCGATGTCACCGACAACACCCGTTGTCGCACACGTTCTTCTCTTTCGAAAGGTTCGGCCACAAAGGAAGGAGACGCCTTGGCAACCAACGTCAGTTCCTTTCTAAAGGAGCACTTTCCTTTACATGGCTGTCATCGTCGTCTTGGTATTTTCTTTCTGGGGTCGACGCTTTCGACCTGGAAACCCGCACTCACCATTCAGATCACACCAGAAGAGCTCTACCTGTCTGGGCTCGACATGACATTTACACCTTCAGCAAGATCGTCAACTTGTCTTTGGGCTTGTTGCAGTTTAGTGCCATGAACAATCAAAGCCGATGTTACATCCCTCCCCTCTTCTTCTCGCTCTTCCATCACATCCACCATCTTCGTCCCTCCGCACCCCATTGCAACGGTGTTCGGTTAACACCACCCCTACCCCCATCATTTACATCGCAGTACCATCTACCCCCTAAATATCGTCTTTCTACCCCACCTTTGCAGTCTTTTGATACACGGACCTGTATTGACCACCCATCCCGAGGCGTGTAATTTTGATTTCGAAATGGCGCGGGCAATGCTAGCGTCGATGGCAGGGATGGCGAGCGCGGCAACCTTTGCGCATGCGTTCATGCAGATTCGGTGAGGATGGAGATAGTTATATGAGATTCCACAATTCCTGCTTCATCCCGTACTTCTCTCCCACCATGTTGTATGATGATACATGATATATCATCTATGATGTACCCCCGCTCACTTGTGCACCGCTGCCATGTGTTCGCCATCACTCTCAAGCTCCCAGACGTGGATGGTTGAGACTTTCGATCTTTCATCGACATTCGGCTTATAGAATCATCAAGATCTTTCGGAAAATTCACACTTTATCTAGAAGCCAAAATATCTTTTCTATCAACACTACACGTATCACTTACCAACATCATACTTCTTATCTACCAACATCACGCAGACTCTCGAGTATGCTATCGATCTGCTTCACTAACTCGTTTTATCTGTGACCGCAGGGGAGCAGAGTCAAGACTGCAAATCCTCGAGGAGACTCTAGTGCAAGAGCGATGTCGTTTTCAGAATCTTTCCTCCGTGCAGAAGAGATTGGTTGAGAACATAGAAACCATTCTACGCGACAATGACATGGAGGAGGAGCTCTTGGACATTAAGAAGGTTATCTCGACTATAGATGGATTACAGGGAGACCAGGCTGGGTTGTTAGAGTGTCACGATTCGCAGAATGGAAACACGGAAGTTGAAAGTGATTCGACTAGATCTACAATCAGGAGTAAAGGTTGCCGTCCTCGTGATCTTGTGTTTGAGATTAGCGACAAGATGCTTGCCTTCATCGAAGCTCGTGCTGACATGAAAGAATATGACAAGAGCGTCATCTTGGATGATATTGCAAGATTGAAAACGCTCTTCACTCAGAACTATGTGAAGCAGTCGACGATAAGGTACATAACTTGTTGTTTGTAACCAATCTCACCGAGCTTGAAGGTCATTCGAGCTCATCTCAAGGTGCCAACGTTCGGTTCACACAATGGATGCTTTCTTTGGGGAGAAGAGTGAGATGAAGGACAAGCTGAATGAGTTGGGGACTGCTTTGAGGGAGAAGACTCGGAGGCTAGAGGAGCTCGAGCATCAGCTAGCACTGCAAGAAAGTAGAGTGAGAGAGCTACAGACAAGAAACGAAAACCTGAGCGACGAACTTGAGCAGACTTTGCAAGACAAGACGATGCTCCTGTCTCAAGTCAGCCTCATCTCGTCTCAGAAGAAGTCACTCCTGCGTGACAAGTCCATCATGGAAGATTTGTGCGAGCAACGTGCAAGAAGCGAAAAAGAAACAAGAATGATGATCATTACACTGGAGGAGGAGCTAGCCAACATGACGGCAGCGTACGCGGGGCTGGAGGAAGGGAAGGGAAGGGAGGAGGAGGAGGCGAGGAGGAGGATCGAGGAGCTGGAGGAGGAGCTAGCCAACATGACGGCAGCGTACGCGGGGCTGGAGGAAGGGAAGGGAAGGGAGGAGGAGGAGGCGAGGAGGAGGATCGAGGAGCTGGAGGAGGAGCTAGCCAACATGACGGCAGCGTACGCGGGGCTGGAGGAAGGGAAGGGAAGGGAGGAGGAGGAGGCGAGGAGGAGGATCGAGGAGCTGGAGGAGGAGCTAGCCAACATGACGGCAGCGTACGCGGGGCTGGAGGAAGGGAAGGGAAGGGAGGAGGAGGAGGCGAGGAGGAGGATCGAGGGGCTGGAGGAGGAGCTGGAAGCTTCTGTGGCTGTCAATCGACAGCTGGAAATTCAAATCTCATTTTCCCTTGGAGATTTTCAGAGGCTACAGGAGGAGCAGGAGCAGGCGAAAGAGAAGGTGAAGGAGCTGGAATCAGCACTGGAGGAGGCGAAAGAGGACAACCGAAGGCTCCATGAGGCTGAGGGAAGTATGAAGGAAGAGATTGCAGCCAAGACCTCAGAAGCAAAACAGCTTTTAGAGCTCGTGGATGAAGTGAGTTCATCCCTCGCCCTCTCCCTCTCCCCTCTCCCTCTCCCCTCTCCCTCTCCCCTCTCCCTCTCCCCTCTCCCCTCTCCCCTCTCCCTCTCCCTCTCCCCTCTCCCTGCTCCCTGCTCCCCTCCTCCTCCCTTCGCTCGCTTCTCATTCTCATATCTCTCTTCTCCTCTCACTTGCGTCTCAGCTGCAGCAGGAGAAAGAGGTCCTCGTCGCTGAGGTGGAGCGACTTGACCAGGAGTACAGCAAAGCGATGCTGGATGCAGATCACGTGAGAGAAGCAGGAGAAGCGGAGGAGAACATGAGCAGGAGCATTGGGCTCTGAGCTGTTTCGT